TAAAAATAATGACCACTGAGGACCTTCAAAAGTTCAACCTAGACAATGAAGAAATAGCAATAGTAAAAGAATTCCCATACAGTAGAGCAGTAGAGGACAGGGGGGCCTGGAGATGTCTCATCCATAGGGTCAGCACTGGTCGAGATTGACAAACATTGATAGAAATGGGGACTGCAGTCAGGAAATCAGAAGAAGATTAAGAATGGGGAGGGTGGCTATGAAAGAACTAGAAAAGATCCTAAAATACAAAGACATACAACTAAGCCCAAAAGTCAGAATCATACAAGCCATTGTATTCCCTATTACCATGTATGGATGTGAGAGCTGGACAGTCAAGAAAGAAGATAGGAGGAAAATCAATGCATTTGAGATATGGTGGTAGAGAAGAGTGCTAAGGATTCCAGGGACAGCAAAAAGTACAAACAAATGGGTTCTGGAGCAGATCAAGCCAGAAATATCCCTAGAAGCCAAGATGACACAACTTAAGAGAGGAAGGCCACATGCTAGATGGATGGTCTTTATTAGACTATGAATATGAGTTTGCAGGAGCTGGGCAGAGCAGTAGAGGGGGGGCTGGAGATGTCTCATCCATAGGGTCAGCACAGGTCGAGATTGACACGAAGGCAGTTAACAACAACAACAACAACAACAAAAAGTTGGAAGAGACCACAAGGGCCATTCAGTCCAACCCCCTGCCATGCAGGAATACACAACCAAAGCACTCCCAACAGATGGCAATCTGTACAGGGTACAGGAGGAAATTAACACTGGCCTCCATGCAGTTGCCCACCTCTGTTCCCTAATATCGGCCCTACTAAAAAAAAAATTACTCAAAATCCAGGTTATGAATCTTAAAATTAAATTATGTGGCTGCCAGGTTGAAGCTGAAGAGATGCTAGCCTTAACCTAGTGGACCACTATGAGGATTCACTATGAAGATCTGGGAATTAACAAAGAGTCCTGATGCAACTCCAGAAACCAGGATTGGCCCTACCATTAGGCAGCAGATTTGGGCTGTCCTGAAAGAGCAGAAAATGATTAGCAATTTAATTTGTTTCTACCATCAAGGCTGAGGATGGGTGCCTGTGGAGTTTTTTGCTTTGAGTACTTTGCACCATGAACTGGGTGGGTGAGGGGCACCCCTGGCTTCAAGAAAAACATTTTGTGCTGGCTCTGCCAGAAATGAACAAAGAACAACAGAAAAGCATGAAGGACACTGGAGGGTGGAACCCAACCCTAGCACTTCCCAGAAGGTCACCCAAGGGCAAGAGAAGCCAGATATGTAGGAAAACATATCCCACACATCAAAATAGCAAACAGGCAGACAAAAGTTGAGGAAAGTCAAGGAAAGGAAAGGAGTCACAGGCAAATCACAGGCAAATGATTCTGCTGGGTCTAAGCTAAATCAGAAGGCTGAACACACTGGACTGGGGTGCCTCATGGGTTAGACCAGGGGCTGGCAACCTATGTCCCCCGGGCCAGGTCGGGCCCAGGTCGCCGGACTTACCGTCCCAGGCAGACCCCTGGAAAACAAAATGGTGGCTGCGACTCGTTTGCGCATGCGCAGTACTCCTGCGCATGTGCAAACACATCGCAGACGCCATTTTGAAAATCAAAATGGCTGCCGCAACATGCGCGGCGGTGGCTGTGGCCACTCGTGCTGCTGTGGCGGCAGCGGCAGCATGCGCTGTGGGGGGTTCACGCATGTGCGTGCCACCATTCCCTCCCCCAGCACGATGGAAAGGAGGACTTCGGGGGACCGGCCCAGATCTTAAAAAGGTTGCCTACCCCTGGGTTAGACATTCCCCATCTCGCTCTTAAGGGTAGCCTTCATTCACCCATCATTAGATAAGATAACAGCAACCTAATTTGATGCCTGCAGAAGAACAGCAAACATATATCAACATATCTTGGCAATTTTCTTTTACATAATTATTCCCATTACTTGTTACAATATTTGAAACAGCAAGCCGTTGCCATCCCGCACTGGAATATGCAAAGAGTGTACATTACGTGCTGCCTTAATCATTATTTTTCTATTATTTTCCACTGCTTTTTAAGAGAAAGCACCTGGGGACTTATGAGAATGGCATAAAATATGAATCATTGCTGTCAAAATGTTTCTAAAAATGCCACAACAGTAGTTTCCGAAAGTAACTAGAAGGTACTAGAAGGGAACTACTGTTCCATTATGTGTCAGAAATAAAAACAAACCCTTGAGTGTGGGAATAAAATCTTGCAACTGGTATGGAGAATTTCTAGAAAATAGTCCAGAACAATGCAAACATTATATAAAAGAAGACAAGAATTAAAGCAACAAATACCACAACCCCCTGATACCTTTGCTCTGTCTTGAGGAGCCCTGAGAGGAGAGAATAAAAAGTAGAAAGGAAACAAAATGAAGGTGGAATAGTGGTTTTAATCACCAAGGGAGCTGTTTTACTGAACTGTATAAAAATGTCAACATTGTATAGTGGTTTGAGCATTGGACTATGACTCTGAAGACCAGGGTTCAATCCTAGCTCAGCCATGAAACCCACTGGAAGACCATGTACAAGTCACACACTCTCAGCCTCAGGGGAAGTCAATGGCAAACCTTCTCTGAACAAATCTTGCCAAGAAAATCCCATGATAGGTTCACCTTAGGATCGCCAGAAGTTCAAAACTGCTTGAAGGCACACAACAACAGCAACAAACTGTAACTAAATAAAATAATAGTGGTTCATAACCACAGGTCTCATAGTTGTACAGAATATTAATTACAACTGATCCACAAACTATCCAATCAAACAGTTTACCCTTCCCCTATTATCTACCCACCCAAATGCTGATGCCTATGTTTAAGGAAAAGACTTTTCATATACACATGAACAAAATTATAAATTGTGCTTTTTTTCTTTTTATAAAGAGTCTATATTCATAACAGCTGACTTCCTGCTGTTCCCCTCATCACTTCCCCAAACAGCACGTCCAACACCATAGCATCCAATTGGATCTCCCGGAGTCCCCATGTTGATAGCAAATATCACCATTAGTGGAGCCTCTGATCTATTCCAACACTCATCACTTTATTCCTTAGTTCATGTGTGTGTGTGTGTGTGTGTGTGTACGTGTGTGTGTGTACACACTCATTTGCATTGATGTATTTCCCTTGAATAAAATACAGTTAATAGAGAGAGAATTCTGTGAATTTCCTATTCCAGCATCTTGGTATACAGGTGGGGACAATTCCATGGGGACGCTTGTAGTTCAGCCCATTGATTAATTAAGCAAGTTAAAATCCCCCTAGAGATTCATAGCTACTGTAGGATCTCAACATTAGAAAATATTATACCACTTTTTGTGTAAAATCCATTTTTAGCATTCCTGTAGTTAAAATCTTTTAATATATATAATCACCTGAGATAAATTACAGTAGGCCCTCAGTATCCACCAGAATTTGGTTCCAAAATCTCTATCAATACCAAAATCCATGGATGCTCAAGTCCCATTATATACAATGGCATAGTAAAATGGCATCCCTATCTAAAACTGCAAAATCAAAGTTTGCTTTGGGGGGGTGGGTGGGCCTGGGGTGTGTGTGTGAATATTTTCAAATGGCAGTTGGTTGAATTTTTGGAAGCAGAATCTGTGGATACGGAGGACTGACTGTACTTAATTATAATACAACAAAAAGAAGGTGATGCTACTAGTAATATCCAAAGTTTTGATGTTCATTAGTTATTTGAATTTTACATATTTCACCATTGAATTGTGAGACTCACAAGATGGAATAATTGCTTTGAGTTAGGTACATTGGAGGATAAGGCTATCAATGAGTGGTAGTTAGGATAACTCCTATGGGCCTTTGCAGACTACTAGAAATAATGCAAATAATGCACAGAGTCCACTTTAACTGCCCTGGCTCAGTGCTAGGGAATCATGGGAATTGTACTTTTTTTTGAGACATTGAGCCTTCTCTGTCAGGGAGCTCTGGTGCCACAATAAACTACAGTTCCCATGATTCCCTAGCATTGAGTCAGGGCAGTTAAAGTGGACTCAATTTGCACTATTTCTGGCAGTCTGCAAAGGCACTATATGTATCTTATAGTCTCAAAGGCAGTATGCCTCTGAATGTATGCCTGCAAGGCTTGTCCGGCACCTAGGAGTTTATCACATGGGAGGGAAGCACCCACGTCCCATGAATAAACAAGGTTTAAATCTGTGAATATCCCACAAAAGCAGGAGTGTTTTCAGACGACACCAACATTATCCTGACATTATCCAGATATTTTTGCCAAAATAAAAAGCAGTGCGATTTGGCCATGTTATTCATGGGTTAATAGGATAATACTGACATGGAAGCCACCCCGACCTGTCGGGAGGGGCTTTAGGTTGCGTCGGCC